GTCCGCGAGGGATGAAAATCACGACAAAATCAAAACATGAGGACTGACCGAGTGCAAAAAAAAAAAACGACCAAACACATAATTTTTGCAAACCATAAGGATGATTTTAGTAATTTGTTCTATTGAAAATAATAAATCAGTGTGATGCGAAAATTTTAATACGAAATAATACGAAACAAGGTAAATACAATTTTGAATTTAAACTTTGACTCAATCAAAGTAATTGAGTCGCGTCAAATATCAAACGGAAATGCATAACAAAAGTGCAATTAATTTTATAGTATAAAAACATACTTATATAAATATAAACAAAAACATACAAAAAGCACCTAAAACGATGCCTGTAATCTATAAATAAATCTTGTACATCAATATCATATTTCTAACCATTAATTTGTCATAGTGGATTCAAGATTCAAACAAATTTTTTTTTTTTAATTTATCATCAAGACATCAAGTAAAGAAACCATAAACAAAAATTCATAAATATATTCAAAATGTGGCTCATTGGTCTTCATGCCTCTAGATGAGCTTCTTTCCCCTTTAGTGGGTTTTCTCTTTAGTGGTTTTTTTACGTTGGTCAATCCTTTTTTATTGTATCAAAGACCGAAAAAAAATGCTTTTTGTGGCACTCTAAAAATTGATTTGGCATAAGTTAGAACCTTCAATATGGTGTTGCTAATAAAAAATGAAAACAAAGGGTTATTATAATCTGTGTAGTTGATATAACAAAGTGAGATGCTCTAATAGGAAAGGAGCATCATAATGGACTAATGGTGCAAGAAGCATATCATAATCTCCATCAAATAGAAATTTTTTTTTTCTTTTTTGGAATCTAGTAAAATGAATTTCAAATAAACAAACCTCCTGATAGTAACAAAGTTGTAGCAACACCAGAAACATATCGCACAACTTCTGGATCAATAACCAAAGTCACCAAATTTAACCTTCAAAAAACAAACTCAACATGTCAACATGAAAAGTCAAATGAGGCAATGAACTAGGATATAAAAGTTTACCTAAAATGCATAGACATAAAATTCTTTAACAAAATCAACACCAAAGCTCTTTTCCACTTCTCAGTATTTGAAGTAAATTCATTGCAGTCATAAAAAATTTCTTGCAGTTAAAGAAAAGAACTCATTAATTTGAAATTGAAATTAGTTCATACTGTCACATTGAGAACCTAAGAGAGCATGCCAATGTTGGTGTTAGTACATACCATATTTTGTATGTTACACTCAATAAATTTCTAAATTCTACAAACAAAATTCTTACTTGTCTATCCCATGTCAAAATCAATGGACATATCTAACTAAGATTATGAATTATCCAAAAAAATTAAAACAACAAAAGAATTTCTTCATAGTAACAATAAGAACATGAAATCAACAAAATTCGACCTTTACATACCTCCAAAGTATATCTGGATAGTTGCCTTGAACTTTCACCCTTTATCATGCAAAATACTCAATTGCATTCCATCGGGAGAGGGTATCAGAAATCGACACCTAGTCCTCTACATCTTGACCTTTCGTCTTTCTAGGCGACCATTGGCATTTGGCAATTAGGGAAGTAGATCAAGACAATTTATTGATTTCAGAAACTCCTCCCAAAACATATTGTGTTGTTTCTTAATTTATACACGCAATTTTTGTTTCCAATGTAGTTGCATGTTTTTATTTCCATGTATATTCCGAAATTACCTAAATGTTTATTTGATGGTTACTAGAACTCCTTATTACTTAGGAAACTTTCCTTATTATGAGGAGTTTTAGAATATGATTATGATTATTTTGCAAGGCTATTTTTAAAACCGTTTAGATCCTTTATTCGTTTATTACTTCATCACTTTTTTTCTACTTCTCCTTGGCGACTTTCAGCTATGTAACATTCTCTTTTACAGTCGATCGAGATTTATTAATATACTAAGTTATCTCTTGTGGGGTTTTTTCCTACAAGGGTTTCGACCTATTATTCATTTATTTGTGCTCTTGCTTGTTATTTAATAATGCAGTTTATCATCATATGTATTGACACACATCTTATCATTATCACATTCGACGTTGTAAACATAGGACGCAACTTCGTTTGTTAGATCTTTGCTCAAAGACATGCTAGGGAAAAAACATGCATCTTCATTAATGACAACTTTTATTGATGCAAGGTTCGCGTTTTCATGAGTGTCTGCAACAACTCCGATATATCTCCGGTAAATAAAACTTTAAACAAGATAAAATTGGTCTGAATTTTTCATTTCAATAGTTGACCATACACTACAATGATCGAGCCCTATGCAGACGACGATTAGGGACTCCGCAACACGGATAAAAAATAAAACAAAATTAATTTTTAATCACCCTATACCGACAACATGTCGTCGGCATAGGATGACAAAAACAACGGCGTCTTGGCTTTCTGCTACAAGGAATTAAAATAAATCGAAAATATTTTTTTAGTTCCTTTTCCAGACGACATGTCGTCGGTAAAGATTTTCGATATACCGCCAATATTTTAACGTTTCCCGCCGAGTCTATACCGACGACTTGTCGTCGGCATAGCTCTTCTGGTCAAACGCAGATGGTCAATGTTTTAAAACGATGTACCGATGTTGTCGGTATAGGTTGACTTTTGCCGACAACATGTGTCGTCTGCATAGGACTCTATTCTTGTAGTATATCAGAAGCAAAGACCTCTTCATCTTCAACAGCTGTGTGAAGCCGTTGGCATTATCACCCGCAATATCTTTGGCAAAAAAGATTCCGGCGATCGAATCCTGGCGGTGATTACTGAAATAAAACAGTTTTAAACACAGACTTGCTGGCAACACCAACTCCTCTTTGACTTATTACATCATAATTCATTCGGACATCTTTGACTTTCATCATAATTTGGACATCTTTGACTTTATAGTTTATTCAAGGCGAAGTGAAACAACACCGAGTGGGAACCCATCAATTTCCATTTTGCAAAAAAAAAAAAAAAAAAAAACTGATTCCATGATATAATTAATAATAAGTGGATTTGGGTTTCTAGATATATATACTTTTTGGACCATACAGAATGTGATGAAATTCATTTTTGTTTAAATTAATTACGTTTTAATTAAGTATATATAATAGGGTAATATATAACGGATAATTTATAATAAAGTCCGAAACTTTGACATTATTGATGAAAAACTATAATTTTTTTAGTAGAAAAAACAAAATAACAAAGAAACTTTATAAATTTGAGATTTTAGCTGGTAAAATACTTTCATAAGATTCTAAAGGTTTTTAAGAAATAAAATGGTTTTTAGTGACATTTTAGGAAATTATAGATTTCGAATGTTAGTATTTAGGGAATCAGAATAATAATATGTAAACTTGGATAATTTTAGGATCATGTTTTCAAACACTTTTCGAAATCTGTAATTCATCCATATTGCCTAGGGTACACAAATTCAGAAGGGGGTAATCCAAGAACAAAATTAATTCAAATTACAGATCTAATTCGAATTATGAAACACATAATACATTTGCTTGATGTGTTGTTTTGAGAGACACAGAGATCAAAAGGATCTATTTTTGAGTATATATGTTCCAACCGAAATTTGGAACTTTAATCATCCTTATATAGATGATAGAAAATCGGTTGAAAGTTGGTTAATAGGTGGTTAACGGAAGTTGCATGCATTTGGCGTCAAAATGAGTTGGTTATTAAGACATAACCAACTTATGACATCATCATAATATCACTACTAAATTTGGCGAGAATTTACATGGTTGGACCCGATATAGAAATTCATTTTGGTTTCGGGGCTCTGCCCCCGGACCCCTGTATCCACGAGTTCACATTTAACATTCCAAATGTGCACCTGCACCTCCGGTCTCGGATAATGAACTGAACTTGGCTTGTCTCGACAATAATAACAATTACATTAAAATATATTGATAACATTAAAATTACCAACATTGTCGTTGTCTGATCCAAAGTATTTGCTTCAAACAGATAAAATACAATAACAATGTTTTGCTCGGATAGAATAAATACAATAATATCATAGTAACTAATATTTTCTCTCTGAGGAAAATTATCTAGATCTGCTAGAGAAAATGTGATCATATTACAATAATATTGCACTAAGAATACATAAAGACAATACATTATGTATTGTCGTGATTATATAGATTAGATAGGGAAAATACATAAGTCTAACGTTTAAAAAACTAAGATAATATTATATGTATGATCCAAATTATTTGGATCTCATGAAGAAAATACAATAAAATTACTATAATGTTATTGTAAGGTTGCGATAAGATAATATAATAAGATATTATAATAAAAATTAAAATAATATTATTCTCTCTAGGTAAAGGGAATATAAAATAGTGAAAATAAAATAACATCAAAAATATAATAAAATTACATCAAAATAACATAATAAGATTAAAACAATTATAAAATAGTTGGTATTTTGTTTGTAAAAAATCGATATAACCTGTTTTACATGTGATTATGTGAATATGTGATATTGTAGGTCAAAATCCAATTTTTATAAAATTTCCAATAGGTGGTATCTTTTTTCAGTTAAAAATGATAAAAACATGGCTTTTTCGTAATAATGCCAAAGTTACAGAAATTTATCACATATTTACCAATGGATATACTTATCTCTATTATGGTGTACCTAAACTTGTAATCAAAAATATATTTATCAGTATTGTTATACTCAATGTTTTTATCTAACAACCGTCTACTTATGTGATAAAGAAATATAAAAGAGTTGTTTAAAAAGGATCCAACACACAAAATATATAAAATGAACTAATATGTGAGAAACTTAGTGGGGGATTCCTATTAATCTTTTTAGAAAAGAATAATTTAATAATAGCATGACAACCTGTTTTATGTATTAGAGAAAAGGACGTGCGATGGCTATAAAAGAGGTTCAAATCAAAACACTTTAGCCAAACAAAACGAGTCTTGATCCGTAGAGGAAGAGGTTTTTTAATATGGGAAGCCGTGGGGTGTTGAGGCATTGGCCTCAACTAGTTTATGTTTTTGCTTTCTTCTTATTAGCCACCATTAATGTCATTGCTGACGATAAGCATTATGTTTATAATTCGCCATCACCCGTGAGTTGGAAACTACCACCACCGGTGAAGGACCCATGGCAAAAATCACCATACATTTACAAGTCTCCACCACCACCATCATCATATGTGTATAATTCTCCCCCTCCACCTCCATATGTATACAAGTCTCCCCCTCCACCGTCACCTTCACCACCACCACCACCATATGTTTACAAATCTCCACCACCACCGCCTTATGTTTACAAGTCTACACCGCCGCCATCACCATCCCCACCTCCTCCTTATGTCTACAAGTCTCCCCCTCCACCTCCATATGTGTATATGTCTCCCCCTCCACCTTCACCTTCCCCACCACCTCCATATGTTTACAAATCTCCACCACCACCTTCATCATCACCACCACCTCCTTATGTCTACAAGTCTCCACCGCCATCATCACCATCCCCACCTCCTCCTTATATCTACAAGTCTCCACCCCCACCATCACCTTCCCCACCACCTCCATATGTGTACAAGTCTCCCCCTCCACCGTCATCTTCACCACCACCTCCATATGTTTACAAATCTCCACCGCCACCTTCACCATCACCACCACCTCCTTATGTCTACAAATCTCCACCGCCACCATCACCATCACCACCTCCTCCTTATATCTATAAGTCTCCCCCTCCACCGTCACCTTCCCCACCACCTCCATACTTGTATAAGTCTCCCCCTCCACCGTCACCTTCACCACCACCTCCATATATTTACAAATCTCCACCACCACCTTCACCATCACCACCACCTCCTTATGTATACAAGTCTCCGCCACCACCATCACCATCCCCACCTCCTCCTTATATCTACAAGTCTCCCCCTCCACCGTCACCTTCCCCACCACCTCCATACGTGTATAAGTCTCCCCCTCCACCTTCACATTCCCCACCGCCTCTGTATGTTTACAAATCTCCACCACCACCTTCACCATCACCACCACCTCCTTATGTCTACAAGTCTCCACCGCCGCCATCACCATCCCCACCTCCTCCTTATATCTACAAGTCTCCACCCCCACCATCACCTTCCCCACCACCTCCATATGTGTACAAGTCGCCCACTCCACCGTCACCTTCACCACCACCTCCTTATGTTTACAAATCTCCACCACCACCTTCACCATCACCACCACCTCCTTATGTCTACAAGTCTCCACCGCCACCGTCACCATCCCCACCACCTCCATATGTATACAAGTCTCCCCCTCCGCCGTCACCTTCCCCACCACCTCCATATGTATACAAGTCTCCCCCTCCACCGTCACCATCACCACCACCTCCTTATGTATACAAGTCTCCACCGCCACCATCACCATCCCCACCTCCTCCTTATATCTACAAGTCTCCCCCTCCACCGTCACCGTCCCCACCACCTCCATATGTGTATAAGTCTCCCCCTCCACCTTCACCTTCCCCACCGCCTCCATATGTTTACAAATCTCCACCACCACCATCACCATCACCACCACCTCCTTATGTCTACAAGTCTCCACCGCCACCATCACCATCCCCACCTCCTCCTTATATCTACAAGTCTCCCTCTCCACCGTCACCTTCCCCACCACCTCCATATGCTTACAAATCTCCACCATCACCACCACATCGGTATTACTATAAATCACCACCCCCACCGTCAAAGTCTCCCGGAACACCAAAGCACTACTGAAGCACAAACTTCTTCGACAAAGAATAATGAGACTTGTTGCATCATAGTAAATCTTACGTTGTCTTCCGATACAATTTGTTTGTTTTTTTCATTCTTAATCAAGTGTATTTTTGGATTAATATGCTCTCAACAAGCAGTGACATTTGCTTATTTGTTTTGTACAGGTCATTTCTGTTCATTCTTTGTATCATTAAAATCAAAAGTTTCATAGTTATGTTCTTTTCTTCGAATATTGTCATCACTCCTTTTTTCTCGAAGCAATAACTTTTTTTATTTTATTACCTCCGCTAGCCACCACCTTGTAAACACCCAAAAAAATATAGTACGGAGGCTTCAACGCCAAGATAGGGTTAACAAACCAGTCTACTCTTTTTCTTACTCCTGTAACGCATCCAATTGAAACTTGAAAGAGTATATTTGGTTGCCAAATAAAGATGAGCAGGTATACTGGAATTGATTTTTATCAAAAGAATGTTTTGATAAGCATATATATCTGATCAAAGCCATATGGATTAAAAATATGCAAGCAACTAGCTAATTAGCCTCAAAGCTTTACAGGAAAAGCTTTAAAACATGATGCTATAATTAATTGATTCTTATTTTGAGTACTTACATCATCACAGTAAAACCCTAATCATTGCTGATGTTTTTCCATAGTAGTAGATTAATTTAACGTGCATGTACCCTAATAAATTACTATTATAAATGTCCATTTGCAGTTAGGAAACGTTGCATTGACCATTTCCTGTCTTTGCATAGAAACGAAACACTTGAATATACCAAAGCCCTTCTGGTAGTCGCAAACTCTTGTCGGATTTCCATTTGACTTTTTTGAAGGGGAATCTTTGACTTTTTCCACCATCTCCATGAAGATAGTTGACTTGAACATCTAAAGAATTGATGATATCTAAGTTATCTTTGTAATTTGTAATTACAAGTTATATCAAATTGTAATAGTATTTTCCTTGATAGTTTTCTTAAAATTCAAAAGTGTCATAATAATTAATATATGATTACATAAAATATTTTATAAAAACTATTAAAATCCTCAACTTTTATCAAAAAAATATGTTGTGATGTCAAAGATAGAGATATGTTGTCATACCAAAGATAAAGATACTGGATTGAGAGACTTTCAAACATACAGAAGAACTATATCTTCACATTACATTTCTTTCACCAAGTTTATAAAAGCTAATAATCAGAATAGATTTCTTATATAAATATACAAATTAATGTACAAATAGTAGTACTATGCACGAAAAACAAGCATCCACCTCATGTGTTATGTGTTAACTTGATGGAATGCTTACTAAACACTAAGTTTGGGTCGAAAATCAGATTTGGCAAATGGAGCTGTGAACTCATCAGCACAAGCCATCCGGATTCTCTCAGGAGTTGCAGGATTGTCAAGAGGAAACCAGCCATGAAACCCTGATTCAGCTCTTGCACCTATAATCGCATCTTTAATGGCAAAAAACACAGACGAAGCAAGAAAGAATGGAGGTTCACCAACAGCTTTTGATGAATGTATCGCCTTGTCATTTGGAGCATCCTGTATATTACAATTTACAAACATTCAATTGATATCCATTCTTTTGTTTGGATTTTTACAAGTATATATGTATAATAAGTTGTACCTTCAATAGGGAAACCTTGAATTTGAAAGGAACATCATTGACAGATGGAATCTTGTAATTTCCAGGACCAGATGTAAACAAGAAACCAGGTTGAATCCATTTATGAGCTTCATCTCCCCATTTCAGCTCTTCAAGAGCCACCCATCCCATACCTTGCACAAATGCTCCTTCAATCTGTGTATGCAAATTAAAAACACAAATATGATTATAGCGTTTGAAGATCAGGGTCAAGAATGTAAATTTACATGTTACCTGTCCAACATCAATGGCTGGATTGATGGAGAATCCGAGGTCCAAGATGACATCAGCAGCCCTTGTGTGGAAATCTCCGGTCAATGTGTCGATTTCAACCTCGGAAAATGCAGCCCCGTATGTGAAGTACCTGAATGGATTACCTTTTCCAGTTGTCCAATCGAACCCAATGTCAGGGACAATGTGAAACCCGTGTGCAGAAAGATCTATACGCTCACAATAACATGTGTTTACCAACTGAAAACGAATAAAAAAATTAGAATAATCTCATGAGTTGTTCTGTTGTTATTTGTTAAAGTTAATGATTCAATCAAGTGTTGTTGTTGATAATTCATATACCTCCTTGAAAGAAGTGTGTTGTTTCTTGGATGCAATCGGCTCCATTCTTGATTTTATTTGGTTACACGCGTCCAAAACTGCTGCACCATACATATCCGAGCTGGCTGAAGCTGCTGTTGGAGACGCATTAGGAACCTAACAAATGTAAAGAAATAGAACCAGAATTAAGGGTTTGTTTGGTATGATGGAATGGAATAACCAAGTAATTCAAAAAAAGAATTCACGGTGCCACATTATACTATATATCAAAAGGCAACCTCGGTGGATGTTTTCAGTTTTCACCGACAGTTGCCACCCCCAGAATGGTATTTTCCACCCCTCTACTTTGTGAAATGCCACTTTCACCCCCTCAACTTTGAACACCAATATTATCCACCCATCTACTTTGTAAAACGCCACTTTCCACCCCTATACTTTGTAAAATGTCACTTTTACTCCCTCAAGTTAGAACTTCCTAAAATGTTACTTTCACCCCCCTCCATTTCCTAAACTTTTATGTTTACCCCCATAGTATTTATAATATGATTTTCCTACAGTTACCACCCCTCAACTTTGTAATATGTCACTTTCACCCCCTCGATTTTGTAAACTTTCGTGTTTACCCCATCCAACCGACAGTTGAATCAGTGGTACCGACCCTGTATATTTATCTACTAACAAATGCAACGGTATCTAACTTTTATCAATACAATCACCAAAATTCAATTTACAAAAAAGATTGGCCCCACCACAACAACACGTGGTGGGCAAAATACTAGTTTAAAAGTAATTCTTATAATTTTCATGTACTATAATACATTATTTATTACCTTGTCAGTACTTGTTTCTGAAATAAATACAGAACTAAGTGGAATTTCAAAGGCAGAAGCAGCAATTTGAGCAACTTTTGTATGTAAACCCTGGCCCATCTCAACACCGCCATGTGTCACCAACACAGTTCCATCTGTATACACTTGAACAAGCGCACCTGCCTGCAGCCAATAAAAAAATTATTAAGCTAAAACTAACTACTAAAACCTTAAAAAACAATAACCAATCATTTCAAACGCAAACTCACCTGGTTCATAAACTTTGTAGTAAATGAAATACCAAATTTAGTTGGAACCATAGCAATTCCACGTTTCTTCCATCGATTATGAAGATTAAACTCATCAACTTCACTTCGAATTTTCAAGAAGTTGCAAGATTTCTTGAGTTCATCCCATAGCCGATGCAAAGTACAGTCTTGAATTTGTTGACCAAAGTGTAATATTGACCCATCACCAATAAAATTCATTTCCTAAAATGGAAATAATCAATAGTAATATAATAATCTTTATGACATATACGAATAATGATTCGGTTTATATACGTACTCTGATTTCTTCGGGACTTTTCTTAACTTCCATGGCAATTCTTTGGATCCAATTTTCAGTAACCAACATACCTTGGGGCCCACCAAACCCTCTAAAAGCAGTGTTACTAGGATAATTAGTGAAACAAACACTTCCGGAAACTCTAACATTTGGAATCTCATAAACATTATCCGAATGATACATTGCACGTTCAAGTATCGCTTGAGACAAATCAAGTGAATTCCCTCCATTGTTATAGATTTCAAGATCTAAAGCAACCACCTTTCCTTCATTTGTGAACCCAACCTAATAACCAAAATACCCCCATGTTAGTAAACATAAAACAACCAAAATTTCGATTGATTCAAATCATGAAAAACCGTTACCTTGTACTTTCCAAGAAAACTATGTCGCTGACCGGATATCATCATGTCTACATCCCTATCCAATGTAAGTTTCACGGGTCGGTTCAAAATGTATGCGGGGACCGCCGCCACCGCAGCAAAAAAAGCCGATCTCGTCTCCTTCCCGCCAAATCCGCCGCCAATTCGCTTCACTCTACAAACCACTTTTGACATCGGGAGACCGAGCACATGGGCAACATACTTTTGATGCTTTTGTGGTGCCTAAAATCACACAAAATCTGTTCACTTTTCCCCAATTTTGGTTTTAAATTATTCTGTTAAAATTGTAAATTTCACGTGATTTCCTTAGATCATGTTATTAGTTAGTTGCTTGATTTCAATATGTCAATATCCGCCAAATTTAGATCCACCCTACATTAAGGGTTTAATGTATGCTTTTAAATTAATCTTGAAAATCAATAAGATTATTGTTTGTGAAACTCTAAAGGGTGTGATCTTACTTGAGTCGATGAGATCATGTGAACCTCATTGCCACCATCCATGGTCCAAACGAATGAACTTTGTGGCTCCAAATAGAAGTGTTCTTGGCCACCAACATGAACCTCGCCCTCGATGATTTTATCACATTGGTTTGACTCAAAACAGAGGTCAACATCCCCTTTACTTAATATCCTATTCGAATTTGGAAAAAAACTTTTGGAGTTTACAGCATCTTTTATGGATAAGATCGGTGGTAAAACTTCATATTCAATGACCACTTTTCTTGCTGAAAGTTTCGCATTTTCATGAGTATCAGCAACAACGACTCCTATAACCTGAAAACATTTGACAATAATTTCTAAATCAAGATACGATTAATACAAATCAACCCGATTTCTTTATTAAGTATTAGTTAGAGAGTACCTGGCCAACACAAGTGACAATATCAGAAGCAAAGACTTGTTCATCTTCAACAACAGGGCCAGTGGCATTATCTCCCGGAATGTCTTTGGCAAAAAATATTCCGGCAAATCCAGGTGATGATCTGGCACCGGAATCATCAATTGAAAGCAAACGAGCATGAGGCTTCTTGCTTAATATCATAGCAGCATGTAAACCGCCAGGTGGCATAGGGGTGTCATCTGTGTACTCAGCCTCTCCTGTTACCTGAAGTCTAGCTGACATATGAACTTCAGGGGACCCCACAGAAGTTCCCTGTTTTGTGATTTCATAATCTTGACTACCCATTACAGATGGCCGATGAAACGGCTCAATAGCTGATAAATGGGAAATGGGTATGGGTTCTTCAAAGAAATCTTGACCTTTCATTTGATGAGATACCCACAAAAAGAATTTGAAAAAGAAACTTAAAGTTAAAGATTTACGAAACTCCACCATGCCACCTGGCGCATCTTCTGAAATCACAACATCCTGTTTCAAGATTTCCATGGCATTTTCCACCATTTCCTTATTCCATGGCTTCCCGATTAGGTAAGCTTTTGTTTTTACAGCTGATAGAGAAACAGGAGCAACACCACCATAAACAACACATGCATCAGAAACAATCCATTTCTGATCTTTTTCTTCAAGAAAAACACGTATTCCAGCATTTACAAGGGCAATATCGTCTTCTCTTCTGTGAGCTTGTTTAAATTCTTTGACATACTCAAACCTTTGAGTCCATGGAAGAAAAACCGAATAAAGAATCTCGTTTTTCCCCAAATCCACTTTTCGATATCCCAAAAAGAAATTTTCAGCTAAAGTGGTTCTAATGTTTCCATTAATGTCAACAATTTTAAACTTTGCTTTTGAAGCCATCCAAAGAGGATTCAAATCTGAAATCGGACTTGCAGTACATATATTCCCACCAACAGATGCAACATTTCTTATCTGAGTTCCAGCAAACCATTTTATTTGTTCAATGATCGCCTTACAAGATGATGTTTCATGAGAAGAACGCTCATTGACAACTTTTTTTAACAACTTTTGAAGCTCTGAAAGCCTAACAGCAGCTCCTATCTCCATTCCATCATCGTTAATGGTCAAAATATTAAGTTCGGGTACATGGGTCACGGATACAAAAACCGGGTAATGAAGTTTTTTTAACCTAGTTTCTATTCCAACTTCGGTGTTTCCCACAACTAATTTTGCATCAGGGAATCTTGATTTTAACTCTAAAACGTGTTTTAGCTCCAATGGCCTATGCCATTTGATCCCATTAAAACCATTCAAGCTTAGATATCTTGGTTTCCTCATTAAAAGCTGAGGTGGGAATATGATTTCTTTGTTTGTGTATGAACTTCCATCAATTTCGTTATAAGAAACAGGTTTATAATCGTGGCAAATATCGCCTTTTTTGACAGTTTTTGATCCACAAGAACACGGTTTACCAGTTGAAGGGCAAACAAACTCACCATCTGTTTGTGATGAAACAGAATTGGTCGTGTATAATAAGTCATTAGTCTTGGAAAAGACACGAAATGCATCAAGAATAGGTCGATAACCAGTGCATCGACATAAATTTCCTCCAAGGCTTTCTTCAATTTGCTCTTCAGTGGGAGTTGTTTTGCTAGACCTTAACAGCGCGTACATGGACATGATGAATCCAGGTGTGCAAAATCCACATTGTGACCCGTGATTACGTGCTAATAATTCCTGTATATATTTTAAATCTAAGTTGGAAACAACTTTAATAGAAAAAGACATACTCATAACTCATAAGGAACTAAAAGAGGGTTACCTGAACTGGATGCAAACCAAATTTGTGATTCCCTAAACCTTCCACTGTGATTACATGCATTCCTTCAACAGAATACAATGGAGCCAGGCAAGCATTGATTGCCTGGTGCCTGAAGAACAAAAAACCAGAATTAGATATGACTTGAATCTTTGATCATATTGTATTTGAAACAAAATAGGAAAAAAAAAGGTGGAAGTGAAAGAAAGAAACTCACACGCATTTCTTTGAATTTTGATCCAAGTAAGAAACCATGACAGTGCATGCCCCACAACCTCCTTCACCACAGCCAAGCTTCGTTCCTGTTAAACCTACATCTATATGTGGACAACAGGGGTACAAGAGGAGTCAGATGATTTAGTAGGAAAAGGTGGGGGAAAAAAGAAAGAAAGCAGATATTAGAAATAAAGCTGAAAGAAAGAAGAAGAAGAAACAAGCACACTAATAGTGTATGAAAGAAGCAACAGATAACATAGAAATTAGGCTCTAAAAGCACGAATGCCATAAAAGAAACATGGAACTAGACATTCACAGAAGGACCTAGTAACAAGCATATACGCAAGCAAGAAAGTAAACAGAAGTAAAGAGTAAAGTTTTTCAAAAGTTCCACAACTGATACAAACACAACACTAAAACGAAGTTGGGGACTTTAACATCTAGAGTCAACTTGAAACATCAGATAGAAATTGCCAAATCTTGTTTCTATCAGAACATCAGTGATAGAAAAAGGTAAAATAGGTTAATCAGATTCGAAAAGAAAGAAAAAAGATTCAGTTTATGCGTTTTCGTTTACCTCTAAGATACTCGAGCAGAGTTAAGTGGGCTAAACCATCAGGGAGCACTTTACGGACTCCGTTAACATACAGAATAGCATCTTTTGAGACTTCTCCGATCACTTCTAGCTCCTCCTCGGTCTTCAAAGATCCCATGGGAACCCAAGATCAGTGTTTCTGTGAGTTTGAGTAAATTTTATGATACAAATCGCGTTTGATCGAAAACTCGATGGATGAGTACAAAAGTAGGAAACGCACCAAAAAATGTGGGAACTGTTTGTGATTGCGAATTGCGAGATTGATTTTGAGGTTTTTTGTTTGGTTGAGACTTGTTGGACTTTTCTTTTTCTTTTCCTGATTTGGATCGAAAGTCGGAAATCGTGGATTCGCGGGTCTCTTATATCTTTGGGATATTCATCTCAGAGGCGGTTCTTGGGTTGTAGATTACACGTCCAATGATTTCGAATCTTTTCTTTCTTTGGAAGTATTTCGATTTTCATTGATTGACTCATTGACCGATGAGCACGTGATGATATCATTTTTTATTTGCTCTTGCAACTGCTTGATGAGTTGCTAAACTTTGAACTGCTCCACCTCACATGGAAAGAGTTAATTTACTATTTTTCGCCGGATCTAATTTCCTCGGGATGAAAAATCTCATAAACTAGTTTTATAATGTTTTTATAGAGTGTTTTTTGTTTTATGGATTTTAAAAAACAAATTTATATATATATATATATATATATATATATATATATATATATATATATCACTATTCTAGTAAAAAAATAGTTTTAATCTCTTTTTGTCATGTATCACTCTAATACAACTCCACATTAATATTATGACAAATGTCATTGAGATATATTAGGCAATCATTTTAAAATTCAAATTTACTTTTTCTAATTATATTTTAAATTTAAAGTTATAATAATTTTAAAATTTTGATATATCTCTTAATTAATAATTTATTTAAAATGATTTATTTAAAATAATTGATTAATAATTATGAATCTTTACTATGAAAATTATATATTTAAGTCATGTTCCTCACGGGTTATAAACTAGTATATATATATATATATATATATATATATATATATATTATATATATATATATATATATATATCTATATATATATAATATATATATATATACAGTGGCGAGTTTAGAATGGAAAACACCGTGGTTCACTAACAGTCGTACCGGTTAAAAAAATGGGTTCAATCGAGTCGCTTCACCAAGAAAAATAATTGTTTTAGCATGTATAAAAATTGTCGTTGAAATGACTGAGCCCGAATCGATTATTTTTTATTAAAAGCAACGTATACTTGGAGTTAGTCAGTCTAAACCAGACATCACCAAGCTTATGTTGTACAAATATGAAAAAAGAAGCATCTATTTATAGTAGAAAACTCCTTAACCATTGTTTTTTATAGTTAATGTGAGACTACTTAATCTCACTTATGATATGCTTTTTATTGTCTTTAGTTTATATCTTTTTTTTCTTCTTTTTTTTACCAAACACATTAAGATAGGTCCTTCAAAATATTTAGGTCCTAAATGCTTTTTTTATATGACTTGTTATAAATTTTTTAATTTTAGGTGGGTCAATTCCCATAACATAGCCTCGCTACTGTTATATATATATATATATATATATATATATATATATATATATATATATATATATATAAAACGTGAGGTTTAATAAACAATCATTATTAACAAGGAATCAATCGTGAGTGTCGAAATTTAAAGCGATCAACGGCTAAGGGAATGGATGTACACGTGTACATTGGACGCACATACAGCAGATTATACCATAAAACTCACATCTTTACCAAAAACGTCACCTCTTTTTTTCGTTTAAAATTTTTTTAAGCCACGTTTTTTATCAAAAAAAGATAATAAAAAAAACGAATATACCGTTGTTCATGATTTTTCTTCCGCTTTCCATAGAGATCCATGGGTGAGCATATTAACCAAAAAACCGAACTATAACCAAATTAACCAATATAATCAAACCATTTTAACCGAACTACAATCATTCACTTTTATAACAATAAACTTTATGTTTTTCAATTTTTATAGAAAAATATTTTTATCTTTATATCATCTTGGACCATTATGGTTAATTGATATTAACCATTAACCATAATCATTAACCGACTAAAACCGTTATCCAAAACCAATATTAACCGCTACCCACTGGTTATTGAAATACATTAACCAATCGTAATGGTTATGGTTCGGTTTTGACCAATAACCGAACCAAACCGCCTCATACACAACCCTAGTTGATATATTAAAAAAAAAACTTTTTTTTCGAAAAAAACCCAACCCACTTCATTTTGTTGTTTTTTTAATATTTAAGTTTATTTTTATTATTAAAAAAAACTAATTATACTAAAAATCTCAATTTTTTTTTTCAATTAAATCATCATCGGTTAAAAAAAATTACTATTTCAATTCTTTAATCATTCACAAATTTATATAAATTTATATACATATGAAAGGCATAAGAACAGTAAAGTATGTGAGGGGCGGCTGCTTTTTTGACATAAATGGTCCCTGAATTTTATTAAGGTTGTCAATTTTGGCTCACTTTTTAATTTTTATTTAGTTTTGGTCCATTTTTTTAAGTCAAAAACCACTTTTGGACCACTTCTGGTTTTTTTAGTTAAAAAAAATGGTTTAGGCAAAGCCTGAATCACCTACTAGTTAAGTGAAATTTACATATGAATCAAAATATATTTCTATGTAGTTTTATAATTTTTCAACGTTTTGATTAATCGTAAATTAATTTTGTAAAATCAACAAATGAATTTATTCACATTGTGAATTTCAACTGTATATAATTTAGTTTTCAGAATTCACAATGTGAATATGACTTACTATTATTCACATTGTGAATCTGCTCAAAAATTCAAGGCATATTCATAATGTGAATCTGAGCATATTCACAATGTGAATCTATATTGAATTTTTTTTTTATTTTGTTTTTTTTTTACATCAATAGGAATCTATGTTTAAAGAGTACCAAAAAATATGAATTTTGATATATTTATAGAAAAATTTCGATAAAAAATAGGCCTTAACTTTTCAAAAAACAAAAAAATAAAGTGTGTTTTTTTGGAAAAACAAAACGTTTTTTCTATATCAATATCGATCTTTATGGAAAGAGGACGAAAAATCATGAACAATTGTATATTCGGTTTTTTTCGATAGAAAACATAGCCTAAAAAAATTAAACGAAAAAAAAATGAGTTTTGTTATAATTTGGTGCATGTGCGTCCATTGTAAAAGTCTACAACCCTTCCTTCGGGTCGGTCAAGGAGGAGATTATAGAGATTCTAGATGAGTGTATGGGCGCGTTCCGTACTGAGATTATGGATATTGTGGGAGCTTGCACTCTTTCCTTCCGCGAGTATCGTGCTTGTGGAGCTCCCGAGTTCTTTGGGGAGAAGCACCCCATTGCTAGTAGGAGATGGTTGACGGATATGGTGAACGCTTTACGGACGAGTTTTTGCCCCAAGGGGTCGAAGGTCAGATTTGCTTCCTGTCTTCTGAAAGACATAACTCGATATGGGTGGGAGGAGGTAGACTTCGCTTTAGGAGGCGAAGCCATTGAGACAATGACTTGGGATGAGTTTGTGACCCGGTTTAAGGCAGAGTTTGCACCAACTATTGATATGCAGCAGTTGGCGAGGGAGTTTCAGGACCTTCGCCAGACGATTGAGATTGTGGCAGAGATCACTGCCAAGTTCCGGGAGAAGGTTTTGTTGGTTCTGCTGTATGCAACGGACGAGGAGATGGAGAAGGTAAGGTATCATGACATGCTGAGGGATGACATCAGGGAGTTTGTGAGTTTGTCAGGGTGCGAGACCCAAAATGATATGATTGTTAGAGCCTGAGGGAGATCGATTTGGAGTACCTCCAAAAGAGGAGGCCATAGCAGACTCAGATCACAGTGGGCCAGACAAAGAGGCCCAAGACTCAGGATTCACGTTTGGAAGGCCATCAGGGTCGGGGCTGTTGTGCCAAGTGTGGGAGGACCAATGAGGGAAGATGTCGGGAGACAAGTCGGGGATGTGTCAGTTGTGGTCAGATGGGTCATTTCAGTAGGGATTGCCCCCGTGGGTCGGTTCCGCTGTGTTTTCATTGCAACCAGGTGGGCCGCAAGACCGACTGTCCGATGTTGAGGGGTGGAGCAGTGAGTGCACCTGCTCTAGTTGCTTTGAGGATCACTGACAGTCGTGAGGGTAGGGCAGGAGCCTCAGCAGCGAGGAGTCGAGCATTGCAGTGTCAGTCGGGGGAGGCCAGAGTTTCATCAAATGCTATCGCGGGCATTGTCTTCGGTTTAGTTTCTCTGTAGTTTCTTGGTTAACATTATCAAGGGTCGTTATATGACATTTTTCATACCGAGAATTATGAGTGGGGCTCGTTTTATTGAGCTAGTTTTAGATTGTCAGATAGTTTGTTGTGGGCCACTGATGGAAGCAATTCAGGGGTATCTCTTGGAAGATCAGTAGTCAGACTAGCGTGATTGGTCCAGCATCGGGGCAGAGCCAGTTATATTGCAAGTTCGTTGCCTTTTGGAATTCAGAATAGATATGGAATATAAAGTATTGATTGGGATTTGAGTGCAAGTGAGTTGCTGCTGGGTAGATATTCTCAGGGATGTGAGGGTAGTCCTCACGTTAGAATCTTTAAGGAAAAGATCTCATGGAAGTTTGTTGTCCCCTTTTGGGATAACAAAGTCAAAGTTCGTAACTGCTTTCGTCGCTCAGTATTGATGGAAGCGGTTTATTGATGGAATCTCGGGTCTGATCGCTACTGTTACTAGGGAAGGAGCGGTGGCGAGTGGATGATGATGATGGTCGTGTGGGCTAGAATTGACAAAGGAATTTCAGAATCATATTGGTTGAAGATAGTTAGAATGCAGAGATCCTTCGGCGAGCGGGTAGTTGGATTGGTGATCCGTCCGTTATGGTCAAGGGTTATAGTTTTTGTCATGATCAGTAATGACTTAAAAGTTTGGAGTTGTATCATGGTAAGTGTTTGGGATTATTGGACTTGTTGAGATTTCGGGAAGTATTCATCTGGATATGGAATGTGTGTGATCATTAAAATTGGCTAGTAATGGAACGCTAGTTCTTGTAAGCTCAGGTTGTCGATAGTTTGAGTTGTAAGGATGTGAGGCGGGTTGGAAACCCATAAATTTTTGTGAATTTGACAAGGTGTAGTTAAATCCAAGTGGGGGAGAACTGTTTGGATTATGGGGATGGAAGCAGGTGCGGAACAAGGGGATGGTATGGGTGAGACCCGGCAGAGATTGGTTGGAGCAAGGTATTGGATTATGTTTAAAATGGGATGACTCTGTGGTCAGTGATTGGTATTTGTGTGATGTTTAGGCTAGGGTATCCTTTATCACTTAGACTCTCAGTAGGAGCCTAGTG